TGTTGCCTTAAACTAATTATAGTTTAAGCGTCTGAGTATTGTTTGCCTTAAACTAATTAAAGTTTAAGCGTCCGAGAACTGTTGCCTTAAACTAATTATAGTTTAAGCGTCTGAGAAATGTTTGCCTTAAACTAATTATAGTTTAAGCGTCTGAGAATGAAATTATGATTTGGCCTTAGACTAAGAATAGCTAAGAGCATTATTATGACCTGGCCTTAGACTAAGAATAGCTAAGAACGTTGTTATGATCTGACCTTAGATTAAGAATAATTTAAGAGCACTATTGAAATAGTATCTGAATTGAATAAAATGTGTTGATATGAACTAAATAATATCAAAACTCTGAATGTCTGAAACGAACATTGTGTACATGATATCAAAAGATTTGATTATGAATTTAGATTCAGTTTGTATGGATGTTCAACACATTAGATATGCTTACTCAGCTTTACCGCTGAGCGTGTAGTGTGTTTGTTTTATTTGCTACACGCAGGTAAAAAGAAAGATTAATGTGATCCTGACGGCAGATGGGGCGAGATTGTCGGGATGGATGTGACAAGTTTGAAATGAATTATGATATGTCAATATTAAGTTCGCTTCCGCAATATTGTTAAATACTCCGTACTGTATATGTTATGAAAAATATTATTGAGATTAATAAAGTGTGTTTGAAAAGTTTTAAATTTTACGATTACCAAGTTAAATACTTTAGTCCGAAAAGGGGCTGCAGACCTGGACGGATTAGGGTGTTACAGTTTGGTATCAGAGCAAATGGTTTTAAAACCGATCTTCGGATCAAAATTTGAATTAAAAAAAAATGTGTCAGTCACATCCACGACTCTCGCATCCCTCTGCTCCAGGAAAGGTATGAGAATTTATTAGATAAATATTAACTTTGTTAAAATTCTCACTAGATAACATCTGTTAGTAGTGAAATTATATCGAGCATAAACTCAAGTAGATTTTTCGTACTCGGTGAAGAGACGAAAGAATAAAGAAAAAATTTGTGATACGTTATCAACGTACTTATCATATCGCGATTGACGAAGCTGATCTATCTCGCAAAGTAGCATAGAAGTGAGATGACTATGAAGAAACGCCTAATGTTTAATAACATTTGCAAAGCTGCTGTCAAAGATCCTCATGTGGACTGAAGATGATCGGATTGCTGATTTAAACACGAACGTTTAGAATCAATAAACTCGGTTGTCTAAAAGTATCCCATTCTGATGTCTAACTCATTACGACGCAAATATGCGATTATATTATACGAATCGAAATAGTTCATTTAGTAACAATTCCTTGCAAACTTTGTTGAAATATCATACAAGGAAATTGACGTTATCCTTATTTCGTATCTATGACTTATTTGATCAGCTTAGAGAATCCATTGTGCTCTCTAAGATTGAC